CTTTTCTGGGAAATTAAAACCTCTGACATTAACAAGAACAAATGATTAGAATAAAAAAAAATTCTTTCATCTTTACCAAAATGAAAAATAAATATAGGCCTAATCATGCACACATGCATGGTTAAAAAAAATGTGAAATGCTTTATAAGTGTACATACCCTGTGGAGAAATGGATGCATTTTTTATTTATTTATTCTTCAAGTGGATCTCTTGACTGCTACAATAATAAAAGTATTATATGTCATATGATTAAAAAAATGATTATGTTAATGTTTAAATTACAGAAATTAATTGACTTAAAAATTGACATGAAATCAAACTGAAAAAAAATTAAATATTTTATTCCCAGTTAATTTAGAAATTCTATAAATTTAAAACTATAGATCTAAAGTGGAGGTTCTTTGTTTTCAACATAATGTTACAAATAATATTTTTTACATTATGTAGCATGTTTGTATGCCAAAAAGACAACAACATTACATGTTCAGTAAATCATTGTCTACACATTGACTGCAGCAATGAAATTTCAAAATTTAATTTAGTCTAAGTTTGTATTACTGTTGAACCCCCTTATTACACATGTTGTCTCAAAGAAAAAAAGCTAATCGACTCTATATTTAGTACAATTACATTTTTAAATTTCTAGTAAAACAAAGTGATCAACTTTATGTGGGCTGTTGGGAAGGAGGGGGGGGGGGGGCGACACACACTGCACTGCATTAGTTTTTCACTGACTGTGATAATACATCTAAATAAACACGTACACACTCGCGATCGTTTTTTCTTCGATGTTAACAAAAGCATATCTACATAATGTACATACATGTGCATACATACCTGGGCTGAATGCACTGCAGTGATGGATCTAGGGAGCTGGTGCAGATCGTCTCATTCTTCCATTATTTTCTGTAATAATGTCCTCATATTCTCGTAATAGGGATAAACAATGCCTTGTCTCTTATCTTATCCCTATTTTCTTTAAAGAATGTCTGATTATTGCATTTAAATCCACTGCATATCACAGCTGATGTCGCCACGTTTTTAGATGTAAACAACATTCCGTGTCATCGAGTGCAAGCGCTTGGCTGAAGCCGAAAGCAGCCAAACGGCACATAAGAAAGAGAATTATTTTAAAAACATGCTATTCTATATAGGAGAAAATCACTAATAATTATTTATTTAAACATGGAAATATTGCCGTTTGTTACAAATTCTTGCAAATATCGGTAAATAGTTATTTTGAGCTCTATTTCCTTATAAGGATCAATCAGGGCGGAGCAACTGTCATGACGTCAAACCTCATTATGATCTAATTATCCATATTTTTTCCATGGGTTGCCTTAACCGTACTGCGCATTCGTACTCATTTACAAACTGCGCGGAGTTTCCAGAAAGGGGTGGATTTAGGGTACTTGCGGATTATGGGGATTTGGCGATACTCAGTAATACAAATACAGAAATACTAACAAAAAGAATATTTGACATACAACTATGAATGTATAAAACAGAAAATAATGTGTCGTATATTTTTAAAATCAAGGCTCGGGGGCCATTAAACTTTGATGAGCCCACTCTTGATCTCAATCTCACTTTTTCACTAGTTCAAGTTAGTAATTCCGAAGTAAAAAGTGAAATAAGGATCAAAAGTGAGATCATCAAATTTTGTTATACCTTTAAAAATTTGTTCCTATACAAATCCTTATGGGAAAAAGTCTAACATTTTTAATGTTTTTTTCTGAGCGGGCATAAAAAATCTATGTTGGACCGCTGAGTGAGATGTTGGACCGCTCGGAGAGATGTTGGACCGCTTACGCCACAGAATGGGCGGAGCTTAATCTCATTTTCATTCTTATGTGTTAAACAGTGAAAAAGCTAATGTAATATTACGGAATATATATTGTACAAAATACATGTATGTCAAAAAATATAAAATAAAATAAAAGGTATAACAAAGCATCAGGCAGACAGTTTGGTTCTTGGGTCCGACAAAACGCATGTTGCCCTCGAACTCAGTCAATAAATGCATAATATGGCCCCAGAGCTTGAATACAACATTTATCATTGATGCAATTAGCATTTAATACAAAAAAAAAATCATCTCTTGTGTTTGATAATTTTTTGCCGTTTTTAAGAAGGCCTATTTAGACAATTTAGAGAAAGGTAATATTGCATTCTAAAATTTTGCATCCCAAATAGTGGATTAGGGAATTCGTGATTTTACTTTAGTGATGGATTTCGTCCAGCAATCAAAATCTATACATGTATATAACTCTAAGGTTTTAAATATAATTATTATATACCTATTGTGTATCACCCAATTTTACTGTTGAATTTACGCTATCACGTGACGTCGTGATCCGATTTTCCGGATCATCAACATGTTGTTTTCTGAATCCATATCACCACTCTCTGAAGCTGATGACGTAGTACGCAGAAATATGACGTTATTTTTCTTGCGCGTTAAAAAGTCCCTTGTAATTATGCTTTGTTTTATGGATAAATGTTATGCAATTGATCTCTAAAGTTTTCTTTTGCTTTATTTCGTTAGTTATGAGGGGGTATATAATAAATTTATCATTATAACAGTAACTTGATCCGAAGAGCCGTATCACGTCTCGTTGACAGGCGCGGATCATCAGATCAAACTCGACGCTTCGCGTCTCGTTAGATCTGATGATCCGCGCCTGTCAACTCGACGTGATACGACCCTTCGGATCAAGTTACTGTTATAATAATATATATGTATCAAATACTTAGCATAACAAAAACTTAAATTATAATAATTAGAATTTATAAATATTACGCAAATGCCACAGACGATATTTGAAATTTAACATTCTGTTTTAATTGCTGTTAATTTAATTTTTTAAAAGGAATATTTCACCTTTTATTGAAATGAATGTGTTACGCGACTGAAGATGAATACGTTTTTAAAATATAGGAAAAATTATTTACAGGTTTCATAGACAGGTAAATACAGGAAAACAAATTTGTAATCTCAGGGACCAGGGAGGTGCCACAAGTTTTTTAATTCTCGGGAGTCCTCTTATAGTGCACGTTGATAATTATTTAAACTTTCAAAAATTGAATTCATGTCAATGATGTATTCAACTTAATTAAAAAAACATCTTCAGAATGTTGAAAGAGACAGAAAGGCATATCTTAAAAAAATATATTGTTTGATTTTTCCAAGATTACAAGGCATATTTACACAGCTAATTGTGCCACGTACGTGTTACATATGGTTGTACATAACACATGTATCACGTATGTGAAATGTACGTATCACATACGTGTATAACAAACATACGTTTCACGTATGTGGTACAACGTACGTATAACATGTGTGTGACTACATACGTTTCACATAACGTACGTGAAACGTATGTTTGGAATACACGTATGTGTTACGTATGTGAAACGTACGTGTAACATATGTTATGTGGAACCATACATTACACGTACGTGAATAAACGTACGGTTAACATGTGTTTTTTCAACCACATGTTACACGTACGTTAATGAACACATGGTTTACATGTGTATAGTCAACCACATGTTACACGTACGTTAATGAACTCATGGTTTACATGTGTTTTATAAAGCACAAATGTCATGTATAGTTTATGTGTATTATAAACTATAACATTAATTTACACAAATAAGTCAAAAGCAATGCTGTGGATAGAAAATTATGGTTAAAAACTATATGGCTTCTAAAAAAAAATAATAAACCGATTAATCAGAATTTTTAAAATGCAATCGATTGCTTGGATTATGTCAGCAATCAACTGATTTTCGATTATAATCGATAATTGGAACACCACTAATGAATATAATATGTGTATTATCAGGCACATGTTAAATTTACATTTACCGTTAAAAAGGTGTTTTACATGTGTGTGAAAAGCCTATGTTTGAGAATGAAAAGGCTGTATATTTTGTAAATTTATACTTTTACATACATGTATGATAAATGTAGGTTGACTATAAATCTAATCCTTTTTATTTTATTTTAAATTTTATTTATTAATCAAATTATCATTTAGATTTTGCTTTAAAGAGAAAAAAACAATGTGTTAAACATTTATTGTTGCTAGGGACTACATAATTTTGTTTAAAATACAGGAACTTTTTGTATAAAAGTATGGCTGACTTCCACAACTAACTATTTTTCCTTAATAGTCTAAGTGATTTTGGAGAACTATAATCAAGATATTATTTAACATAACAATTAATAGGCACTTTGGGCCTAACCTGTTATTCAGGAAGAAGAGCAATCATAAGTGATATGACCATCCATAAAATCCTTCTTATAGCATGTATAACGGGTCCTTAGATCGGAAGTTGCATGTATTTGAATAATTATAATATTTAAAATCTAAGATATCTTTTTTTGACATAAAACATTATTATGATATTTGGTTAAACCCAATCACAACTGAAGCTCACATGTGTGTGCGTTGTTGACTTGTTGTGTATGTTTTGCGTATTTAATGTTTCAATTTATTTCACATTGTTTACCTTATGTCCACTTTCATGTCTGGCATGATGTTATCAGTTCGCATTAGTTTAAAATTTACTATAAAAACAGCTAACAAAGTTTACATAAAAAGTTCTCCAATCTCGTCATGTGTATCGGATATCGGTAGAGGCACATAAAATTGAACTCGGTCATCGGTAGATATAATCAATCCGAATTCAAGAGCAAAACTAAATTTAAAAAAAGAAAGAAATTCGCGATAATTTCACAACAAATCTCAAAAGGCAGTAAATGATTTACCTAGATAATTTTCAAATATACAGTGCGTACCGTCCGTATAAAACTTATAAAATATATGTACCTTCCGGAATTTTCCAGCCTCCATTTATGTCTTACATGTACGTTACCAGTGACGTCACTGAAAAGAGAAGTCTGACGTCTGCAAATAACGGTGAGGAATGCATAAAATCAACAATTATTTCAATTACTTTATAACTGTGTGTTGCATGTAAACTAAGGGGGTGTTTTTTTTAGTGTATTACATAATGGAGACTTGGGTTACCAAAAACAGAAAATATTGACCATGTTGAGGCAGTGAGCTGTCTTGGTCAGCACCCAGGTGTATTCATCAACACGGGCACCTTATATCAAAATGCAGGTGAAGTTTAAAATTACTGTAATAACAATTAAGTATTTATTTAAAATGTTTTTTAACCTAACAAATGATGCAAAAAAAAAAAAAAAAAAGAAACAACAACAATTTGATGTAAAGTTTCGCTCACTGAATGTATTTCTTTTTACAGAATTTAAAACATCACATTACATATAAGGAAATCATTATCTTTGAGGGCAATAAAGATGTAACAGTTTTGTTTGAAATATCTGCCCTTTTCCTTTCTTATGAAATAAATTGTGTTTGAGATTGAGAATTTTTATGTGATTTTAGATATGCATTCCAGGATGGTGACTGAAGCTCATCTTTGTAAACACCTAAAAATGCCTAGAATGGACTTCAAAACAGATTCTGAAAGTTTAACCAGTATAATCCTTAATATGGTAATACTTTTAAAAAGGAATAAGATTTTCTTATCATATTGCTTTTAGACTTGCAAATACTACATGTAACTTGAAGCTTTTCATGTAAAATTTGAAATGCAATTGAGTTTGACGAATTTCACACTACTAAGAGTTATCTCCTCTTGACGGCGTAACTCTCGTTTTTCCCACTTTGTCCTTTGTAAGTTACCTGTTATTATTTTCAATCTTCAAATGTTATTGGACAATTTAGATCTGTACCTGTATTGCCAAAGTTTGGGCAACATGAAAATCTTAATGAACAAATTCATTGCAGATTTAATTTTTAAGATACTGACCAATAAATTTGGTAAGGTTATAGAGGGAAAACAGGGCCTTACGCTGGATTGACCCTGCAAAGGGGAATAACTTTTGTAAAATTTAATGTGAAAGTCATCTATTTTTTTTTTTTAACATATATTTGTTTTAACCTCAAGGACAAAAAGTAAACACTTGGAACACACACAAAAACAGATGGGTCCATGCCAAGCTAAAGATTAATGCAGAAGGAAAGTTCAATTTTTCATTTCACAACTCTTGGTTTTATCCAGATTGGACCTTACATATAAGTTAAGTCAGCTTCAGTATAATAGAAGGATATGGAGATAACAAACAGCAAACACGGACCCCCGAAACATCAAAGGTGGGATCAGGTGCCATAATAAAACACCAATTTACTTACTATTCGGAAAATAGCTTGTTAATCATCTCCCTCGACAGCAAACTATTTCCCTCGGCTGCATCTTGGGGAATAGTTGCTGTCTTGGGGGATGATAAACTAGCTATAGTCCTCATAGCCAGTAAATAGGTGTACATGTATACTGTTTTTAGCTCTTCTGAGCAATAGGCTCAAAGAGCTAATGCTATGGCCATTTGTGCGGTGTGCATAAACTTTTTAGAATGTGGGCAATAACTCGAGCAATCATTGTCAAGTTTGTCACAGGGCATCCTTGGCCCAAGGGGTACCATTTAAACTAAAACTAGGGTTTGGACCCTTATACAAGGGGAGATAATCAGGAAAATAAGACCAAGAGAACTTTATATTGGCCTAGAATTGTTAAACTTTGTCAGTTGAGGCATCTTGGGCTTTTGGAGAATGTCAACCAAAAAGTAGGTCACCATGACCTACTTATGGTTTTTTTATAGCTCTATTGAAATATCTTCAGTCCTAACTGGCTAAGAATCATCAAATTTCTCGGTTGATGTATTTTGGGTCTTATAAACTTAGAGGCTTCAAATATTAGTGAAAGATCGTACAATTGATCAGAAGAGCGATTCAAGGCCCTTGGGTTTCTCGTTGTCCATCATCATACACTGTGCTCTGTCTGGTAAAATTTTAGCATTTACAGTCTCCTCCCCCCCACCACCACCACCCAACCTAAGGGGGGGGGGTGGGTTAACCCATCAAAAGTATTCAAAATTGTATTCTTTTAATTGGATATCAAGCAAACTGTTAGCAAGATTTTAAGCATTGAGTCCAACTAAAATTATGAAATTCATAAAGCCCCAGGATAGGTGGATCAGATGTAAAGGCACAGCTTTATTAATTAATCATAAACTGAAAATGCATTGATTCATTGAAAATTTATATAATGCTCCTAAGTTGAAAGCAAAAGGACTAAGTTAATGACAGTGTCAGGAACAAGTTTTATACCCCTATAATCAAAGATTCTGGGGTACATCTATATAGCTTTTGCCCTGTCTGTCTGCAAAATCTTTTCACATTGGCCATATCATTTTAGTGGGTGAAAGTATGGCCTTCATATTTCACAGACCTGGGTATTCATTGTGACAATACTTTTGTATTGGTACACCAAATTAACCTTTTGAATTGAACTTGGAGTATGACTCAATTTTAAGAAAGTTTCATAACTTGAATCTTGGCCTTACCTTTTGAACAGCTGGTGCAAGGGCTTTCATACTTCACTTGTATATTTACTGTTACAAGACCTTTCAATGGGTATATATTAAAACATTTGACCTTGAACTTCTAGTTTAACCCACTGTTAAAAAACTTTAACTTTGATCATAACTTTTGAGCTGATAGTAGTACGGCTTTCGTATTTCACAGATTTATTCTCTGTGACAAGTCCTTCCTTTGATGTCAACAATTTTGACCTTTGACCTTGACTTTGGCGTTTGACTTGCAATCGGGAAACTTAAACCGTAAGCTGGCATATGGGGTATCAGTATATTATAACAAACACATCTTTTTTTTTCGAGGTCACCCACAAATAAATGCTATTTAATGAATTTTAGATAAGAGAATTACAAGGTAGATATTTGATATATATAGAGAAAAAAAAATAAAAAAAAAAGATCATGGTTATGAATACTAAAAAATAATAATAGTTATTTAGTATTTATATTTGTATTAGTAAGTATTTTTATGAGCCCAGATCAAAAGATCCAAGACATATATTGTTTTTGTCCTGTTTGTCTGCAAACTTTAACCTTCACCATAACTTTTGAACCATAAAAGATAGAGACTTCATACTTGGTATGCATGCTTCACTAATTTTAAAAGTTCTTTCTAATGACACCAAGGTCAATGACTTTGTGACCTAGACTGTGACCTATATGCTAAAAATATTTTTTTTGTCAGCAAACTTTAACCCTCAATTGCCATAACTTTTTAACCATGAAAGATAAAGACTTCATATTAAGCTCTTACAAATGACACCAAGGTCAATGACTTTGTGACCTTGACTGTGGCCTATATGTTGAAAAAGCTTTTTTTTTACCTTCACCATAACTTTTAAACCATCAGAGTTAGAGACTTCATATTTCGTAGGCATACTCCACTTATCAAGTTCTTCCAAATGACATCAAGCTCAATGACCTTGTGACCTTGACTGTGACTTATATGCTAAAAATAACTTTTTTAAAACTTTGTTGCCACCGGGCGCAGAGTGTTTCAACAAAAACATCTTGTTTTTTATCTAATTTGCTTTGCTTTGTTACACTTAAGTATGTAGAGGGAGGATCAGATTGCTACAAATATTAAATTAACTTATCATTTGATAAATCTATCTATAAAATTAATTGATAAATTTTCTTTATCTGCATATATTAATTAACCTCATTGTTGATTTTTCCATGAAATCTTGGCTTACGATTGGTTAAAGTCTGTCACGTGAAGGAGGTGGATTACTTATACCCTTTCATATGTTAATCTATACCCGGTCCATTGTAAATCTATACTTGGTCGATGTATTATGGAACAAACACAATGTGATGTCATAATAGGCACAGTATAAGCGTGATGAAGCATGTAGCAGAGAAAAACATTAAGAAATCACAGAAATCTGTCTGTAAACAATCAAAATGCTACTCCTCCAACAATTTTGGTATGACTTCAGTACATGTATAACTAAACTTAGCACACAAAGAGACTACACTAAGATACACAATTCTGTGTACCATTTTTGGTTTCGATGAATGGTGTTGCCATGGTCACTGAAATTAAAATTTCTTTGATTTCAATAAATCTTGCTGCAAGAAAGACTAAAACCAATGATAAAAGTCTAATTTTTTTTTGTTGCAAAGTTTCAAGTCCAAATGCTACTTTTTGTTTCCTTTGTTATAAGTATTGATCAGTAGAGCTACAGTCTCATCAGAGACTTTTGGTTTGGAAAGTTAAACCAAAATCAAATGCAGATCACAGTGAATTAAAGTGTATATTTTTTTAATGAAATCTTTATTTTATTCCAGAGACACTTTCTTCACAAGAAGAAGTATTTTAATACAGGAGAGTTGACTGCCTTCTGGGCAGACTTCAAGGCCTTTTTGGAAGAGGTAACATTTTAATCAGTTATCAGTATGAAAGAAAGATCCTTCATCATTTTTTTTTTTATAAACTTGAAGGTACAGATTTAACAGCTCTTATTTAAGTTATTAACTCCTCAAATGAATCCATGAAGTTAACTTGGTTCATTTTTTTTGAAAAGAAAAAGGTCATTCCTTTTAAGGGTTTTTTGCCTGGTTGCTTGGGTTGTTTCTCTCTCACAGAATGGACAGTTTGACAGCCTTCCTTGTAAAATAATTATTCATTTTGCATTTTTTTTTAAATATTAGATCGAGAAGGATGAACGCCCCCAGAAATGGGAAAGACTCGAGGAAATTGATAGAAGAAGGGCTGAAAGGGTCAGAGGTAAAAGCATGCTTTGGTTTTATTCTCAGAAATATTAGCAACAAAAGCAAGACCACTTGAAAATTTATATAAAATGTGTTTATATTGTTATAAATTCTAAAATATGATGGATGTGACAAATCAAAACTTGTTTAATTCATATTTTTTAATTCATAGTATACATAAAAATAGTCATGTTCAGATCATATCTTATATGCAAACAGTACCGTCAGATCCTGCCAGTTGATGAAATGTTTTTCAACAAAATTCTAATGTCTTGATTGTTAAATTCTTTTTTTCTTTTTCAGACAACACAGAAGAATAATGTACCATAGAGGGAAATTAAAGATTTATGAATTCTGAATATTTGTTTTCTCTTTTTATGGCAATTTTAGATTAACCGTTGGAAATGGAAGATGAAATCTTTGGTAGTTCCATTGATGTGAAAATCAATTTATCAGTTGAAAAGGTTAAGGTTGCAAGCTGCAAGTTCAAGAATTTCCACAAGAAGAACTGAATAGTATTAGAATGTATTATAACGGGAAGTATTATATGCACATGTTTATTATTACCAGTGCATGTGGTACTCTTGTATTAAAGGTTGAGTGTATAACTGATAATTATGAATTATATAGCAGCATCCCTACCAAAATATTGACTTTCTGGCAACATCTTCTGGCTTTATTGCCTCAATATTGCAGCAACATTCTGGCAATACATTGCCGCAATATTGCGGCTATATCGTTTTTCGTATGTAAATTAGTTTTGCGGCAATATTGCCAGAAAGGGGTTGCGGCAATATTGCTGCAAATCATGACCAAAATATTGATCTTCTGGCAACATCTTCTGGCATTATTGCCGCAATATTGCGGCTACCTGGTATATCGTTTTTCGTATGTTAATTAGTTTTGCGGCAATATTGCCAGAAAGGGGTTGCGGCAATAATCATGACCAAAATATTTTTCTTCTGGCATTATTGCCGCAATATTGTGGCAATATTATTTTTCGTATGTAAGTTAGATATAAATTGGTATTTGATAGAAATAATGATCTATCAATCTAACAATTAACAAACTGTGCTGAGGAATATAACAAAAAATAGCAAGCCACAGGGTCAATAAGAAATAGCTACTTCTGCTATTCTTTGAACAGCTAGAAAATTATGTTGATCTTCAGAATGAAAATCAAGATATGTTTGTGAAACACTATGCGCCTGGCGGCAACAAAGTTCAAAAATGCTATTTTTTAGCATATGGGTCACAGTCAATGTCACAAGGTCATTGATCTTGGTGTCATTTGAAAGAACTTAATTAGTGGAGTATACATACTAAACATGAAGTCTCTATCTCTTATAGTTCAAAATTTATGGCAGAGGATCAAAATGGCTATTTTTAGCATATGGGTCACAGTAAAGGTCAAATTGTCATTGACATTGGTGTTACTTGAAAGAGTTTAATTAGTGAAGGGTGCATCCCAAATATGAATTCTCCATCTTTTATGACTCAAAAGTTATGTTGAAGTTTCAAAAAATCTATTTCAAGTATATGGTCACAGTCAAGGTCCCAAGGTCATTGACCTTGGTGTTATTTGAAAGAGTTTAATTAATGAAGGGTGCATACTTAATACAAGTTCTCTGTCTTTTATGGCTCAAGATTCATGTTCAAGGTTCAAAAAAATCTATTTTAAGGATATGGGTCACAGCCAAGGTCTCAAGGTCATTGGCCTTCAGGTGTCTTTTGAAAAAGCTTAATTAGTGAATTATGCATACTTAATATAAAGTCTCTATCTTTCATTAATTTTAAGTTATGATGAATATTCAAAAAAGCTATTTTTAGCATATAGGTCACAGTCAAGGTCACAAGGTCATTGACCTTGATGTCATTTGATAGAACTTAATTAGTGGAGTAGACATACCAAATATGAAATCTTTATCTCTCATTGGTTCAAAAGTAATGGTGATCGAAGGTTAAATTTTACAAACAAACAGACAGGACAAAAACAATATGTACCCCCGATCTATCGAGACAGGCGCATAAAAAATGTTTATAAAAACAATATTAATATGCCACTGTGAAAATGTCCAGCAACTCTGCCTTGATATATATTTTCAAATATTTACATGCTTTAATTCATCTTTTCCTCTACTCTAGGATATATAGACATACAAGTCTAGTATGCATACATCACAAGCACTAATTGAAACACATATAATTTTTCCAATTTTATCTCCATTGAATCATTCATCTAAAAAAGAATATTGGTTTTGACTCACCAAGTCTGATGATATGGAAACAGAGTACACATTCCTATAATTCTGCTTAAATTCTTTTTTTCTAGTCATTCCACACTATGCAGTCTTACTACTCATCTTGACTAATCCCACTGTACACAATTAACAACTCTAATTAACTTAATACAAGTCAGTAATGAAGCAAAACATGCTTGCCTTTGAATTCCCTCCACTTTATTCAAAAAGAGGAAGTAAATGACTGAGCATGCTCAACAAATGGCTCATGGGTAATCCTAGATGTTGCCAGAAAGTTTTTTTCTGGCAGTATTGCCAGAATGTCACCGGAAGTTGTTGCAGCTAGCGGTGATATTTCATTTTTTCTGACAGTATTGCCAGAATGTCGCCAGAAGTTGTTGCCACTAGCGGTGATATTTCACTAACCCAAAAAGCTTGTTTCTGGTGACAAAAAATGTGTTGCTGCAATGTTGACGCAATAAAGCAGCCATATTGCTGCAATAATTTTACTTTGGTAAGGGATATTAATTATGCTTAGTTCAAATTTGGTTAACAAATTTATGAAACATTTAAAGCATATGTGATCCATATGTACACATGTATAACATACATTTACCATATTTTGAAAACATGTTAAACATATGTGTTCCATATGTATAACGTGCGTTTACTCACGTATGTTTAACGTATAATATTTACCACGTGTGTTTTACGTATGAATCACGTACGTGTAACATACGTTTCTAAACGTATGTGACACGATACGTGGTATTTTTTTCATGGAAAACGTACGTGAAGACACGTATGTGTGACATACGTTTAACGTACGTGAAACGTATGTGGCACAATTAGCTGTGTATAAATGTCTAGCTGGAAAACAAATCATTCCTTATTATCAATCGAAAGTTTTAACATAGACTTCTCAATTTCTTCAAAGTTTATTTTCAAATTCCTTATATATAATTATTTCTTTCCTTGTGAATTCTTTATTATCAATAATAGAAACCACAGAAAAATATTTTTATTACATGTATAAATAAATATGTGAACTAGATTAAAAGCTCTAAAATATATACACATGTATGTCTGTATATAATTCACAGTATGGATCATTTTTTTTGAAAATAAGAATGGTCTAAATATCAATATTAATTAATCTCCAACATCTTTGGTATGACATTGCTTAGATGTCCAACTGTTTTGCGTATATTTTATCTGCGGTATAATCGTAAATTCTAGAGGAGTTCCGACAGAGTATTCGATGAAGTGGTCAATAGCACTCTCTACATAGAATTTTTTTTATTTCACGAATAACAAAAATAGAAGTGTAAATTACTCCGCTTTTGTGATAATTTACGGTGGAAACGGGATGTTTCGCGCCGATGCATGGTTCGCACCGCGATGTTTCGCGCCTATTCTGTTTCGCGCTGAGATGGTTCGCCCCTCGATGTTTCGCTCCCAGAACACAAAATGTATGCTATTTATTTCGTTAGTTTTGAGAAAATAAATAAATAAAAAATTATCATGTCTGTTCATATTGATGTTGTTTCGAAATTTTGTAGAATATTAATTAATATTTTGATTGTAGAAGTTTATTTGAAGTACTTAGTCTAATTGTTTATTATTTTTACACTGATAATAATGTTCATAGTAGTTGCTTTAGCATACCGCCATCTAATTAAGTAATTATTGCCGGCTTGGAGAACCTATCAACTTAAATTTGTTGGCTTGGAGAAGCTAAGTTGGTGATCTAGATTGTATAAATCAAATGTCCCTTTTGCATACGCATAAATGCTGAAAACTTTTAATTCTTTCAAATTTCATATCAGCATTTCAATGTTAAAATATTTTATTGATTTGTTTAAATGAAAACAATTAGGTTATTGAATGAAAATTGATTTCTGACTCCTGTGAACATAAGATTATTGTTAAAAAAAAAAAAAGGTATTATACAGTATGGGGTTTGTTATCTTTTTTTTGGAACATAATATTGATTAATAATACTGATTGTAAAATTGATAAAATCAGATTCATGTATCATGTAAAATCAGAAAAAACAATTGGCTATTTACAAAGCCAAGTTTATCGACTAAGAAAATATGTTTAGCTCATCAAATTTGACTATCAAACTTCCTGGTGGATTATTCTATACACATGTTCTAAAAAAAAACACAGATGATATGTTTTCAAAATCACGCAGATAATTGCTGTACGACTTTATAATTGCTGTAATGAAATAAATCTCACCTTTTGATCTCCAACTAATTACAACTAAATAGCTGAACACACACGTTGAGCAACGGGCGCCATATCAACATTTACGATCCGGTTACCTGTGGCACCGCATATATATAATAAAGTCATGATTCTGAGCATACAACTCTTACTTACATACATGTATAAGATTTAATGAATGGTCTTAAATCATTACAAAATAAATAAAATATTTTAAAAAAAGAGGGGAGATGTTTCGCACCGAAATCGGCGCGAATAATCCCGGCGCGAAACATCGCAGTGCGAAACAGAATCGGCGCGAAACATCCCGGATTCGTTACGGTGAGGTTTGGAACTCAATAGAGACTATTGTGCCTCAGACCCCTCTATGTTGACCCCTATTTCGTTTAATTGCGTATTTCAGTTCAAACAGAACCCATCTTTCTGTTTTGTTTCAGTATATACTGTTCTGTTCTTTCCCTTGCCTGTGATCGACGTCCAATACCCTTGCCTGCGATCGACGTTCAATACACATACATGCAGGTCACGATCTCTGCCGTAGCCAGTTGTTTATATTTTACCCTCGGTAAAATAGTTCGGAGCGTAGGGATACCTCATATCTTATTTTTACTCAGGAACTTGTATTTAGTATTTGTAAATCCCTAAAAACTCTAATTATTGCTTGGAAATCACATTAAATACTTTGTAGATCTTGTTTTGTGACCGAAATGCTGATTTCAATGCATGTATAATCAGAGAACTATATTTCTTAGAGAACTGATAAAAATTAACGTTTTAATATTTCCTATCAATCTTGCAAGTGATATTGTTTACATATTAGCAACCTATCTCTGATTTGATTCTTGCTTTCTGAGGTA